AGAGAAATATGAAAGAATCCACTTATTGTGGTAAAATTAAAAAAAAATAAGTACTCCCTTACTTTGCAGTGATTGGTAAGAGAGAAATCACCTGCAAGAGCTTATTTCATTCTTGCATATTCCTACAATTTGATTTTAATAACCGTTTTTCACCGTAATCATTCAGGGCCACAAAGTTCTGAAATTTCTTCACCAGTTCTGGAATATTTCTCCAACGTTTATATTGCACATGCCACTTTCTTTATTATTTCCATGTGTTTCAATTCCACTAACGAAATTTGGCTCAATAAACTTTATGTTGAACTACTTTCTCTTCAGCATATACTTGATATTATTACTTTTTGCAACATGTCACAGTACCAAACACAATCAGCTCAGTAACTTTCTGGATAGAACGTTCTAATAGAAAACACAAAAGAGAATTAAATTGCCTCCATATATCAACACTCTTAAGTACATGCTTTCAATATATTCAGCTGTTCTAGAAACAAATTATTATTCATTTCTAGGGTTTCCTTTTTTTAAATTAGAAATGTTAACATGCGGAAAACCTTACTCTACATATTAAAAAAGGAACTTGGAATTGAATTAGAAAGAGTGTAGAGGTGACATATTTTTTAAAATTTGTTCAATATTATTCTCGCACGAATAAAATGAGTAAAACTTTTATTAAATTATTGCCGTTTCTTTCTCCTTCAATTTTTTTAACTCCTTTTCTAAAATTCTCTTCCTCTTCTTGTCTGTTTCCTGCTTTTCAATTTTTGCATACAAGATCATAATACATTTATAATTTTTTTCATATTTTTTTTTTTTTGCATTGAACACTATTTGGCATTCTCATGGTGATTAGGACAAAACCACATAATCCTAATAAGTTTTCCTTTTTCGTGGAAAGTTTCTCTTCTGCCTTTTTCCTTTTTTTCTCTTCGTTTTTCTTCTCTTTTTTTTTTTGGAATATTCAAAGAGAACAAAAACCATAAAACAAAATTAGATACTTTTTTCCTAAAGATAAATAGAATGCTCTTAGAGGAAGAATGAAAGAGATAGAAAAAAAATAGAAAATTAGTAGAAATATTGACCAGCACATGAAGGATAAAATTGTAAAAATATAGAAAAAGCAAAAGAATAACATTTCTATGGGAAAATAACCTCAATAAAAAGTTTTATTTTTCCGTAAACTTCTTTAGATAAAAAAAAAAACAAAATTAAAAATGAGAAAAAAATACTTTTAAAATTAATTGGTGAATTGTAGAATAATTTCTGCGGTTTGCATACTAAAATATTTCATTTAAGAGGTTTATATATAAAATTGCAATTACTGGCGGGATGAACACTTTTTAAATTTAAAATTAAATTTTTATTATGTTTTTTTTTTTCCTTTTTGCATGGCAATAATTAATTTTAGTTTAGAAACCGTTTAAATTAAACACTAATATCCATTAAATTAACCACATTAGTGATCTCACTTTTCTTAATATGACATAAGTTAAAAGTGTCAAACTTTTAACATTTAATTTGATATTGTTGACAGAAGAAATTGCTTTTATTTTAAAATGAAATTTTTGAGAATAATTTGAAAATTTTAAATTTTTAAACCGTAAAATTAAAAGTATAATCAGCGCGTATTTTTTATGCAATTATAACTGTGGAAATTTCCCATGGGAAGAAAGTTGCGAGTGACTCTAAAACAAAAATTATTTGCATTGACACGGAAAAAAAATTTAATTATTTTCTATTTAACAAAATCTGTTTTATTAAAAAAACACACAAAATAAAGTCAAAAGAAATGATTAACGAATGTTTCCAAGTTTAATACTGTCAGTTATATTCTATGTTACTCTAGTTTACGACAATATTTATTTAAAAATGAGAAAAAATATACAAAAAACTTATATTATTACGGTTCGAGTATACTAATTCGAATTCACAAAATTCTTGCGATCTCGATAGAATTCTGTAATTGGATTGTACCAAGTATTATTGCTTTAAATGTAAAAGAGATCCTATTGGAATTCTAATGTTCTCTTCGAGTTTAAGAGATTGGTTAAAAAATAAATTTCATGATTGAAAAAAAATTAGTACTGAAAATGTTGGCCCATTCATTCACTATAATGACGTCACTGAATTCTCTCCTGTTCACAGAAAATAAAAATTAATTATTACAGAATTTTATAGCATATTTTTTCATTTACGATATTATATTTCACACAATTTTTCCAACTTATATTCCAATAATGATTCTTCATATTATTCCAATTAATATTATATATACACAATATAAGGCATCAAGTTCCCAATAGCCGAGATTAGAAATTTTCTGTACCAAACCCAAAGGTGTACCAAACACTCTTTCAGTAATTTAAAATGCACCAAACAATTTTCTTAGGAAATGTTTGTATGTATATATATATAGCAATAATCTTTCATTATCAAAATATTTCTATTCTCATAAACATTATCGATTATCGAGTTTATTTTTTACAAGTGTACCTTAAAATATAAATCTTATGAAAACTCTCTGTGACATTTTAAAACAATCTAAATCTAAAATCGTGTTACATTTGTTCATTTATTATAATTTAATTAAAACTTTTTTTATAAATCTATAGTCAAACTTTTAATATCTTCAGAAAATTGTAAAACAATTTCTGTACGATTATTTTTAATGATTCCAAATTAAATACTTTTAATTAAAGCATTCTTTAATAATTTGAAAAGAAATATAAAAAAAACAATAATCGAAAATCAAAAATAAAGGATGGTATATATGAAATTTCGATATACAAGAAATCTCCAAGTACATATCTAAAACAGAGGGTTTATGCTTTATGTGAAAATCAAATTTAAACTATTATTACTATTATTTTTATGATGATATACCACCTACATTTTAAAGTATGTTACATTAAATTATCAGACAATTTTAAACCTATTATAAATCGTACATATATATATTTCATTGATATATATACATATATATAATGTCTAAATAAATATTATTAGTAAATCTTTAATTCCATCTCTCGTTACAAAATTTAAAATTGGTGTATCAATTGCAATTGAGTTGAATTTTTTTTTTTTTTGAAAATATAGGAGAGGTACACAATATTATATACTTATGTATATTATATACACATACATGATTTTCTATGCATAGCCGTTAAGATTTTAATTCAAGAAATTATTATAAATTATACATTTAAATATAATACGCTGTGTATACAGGGAATATCGTCTAGTAGGGTATACACCAGCGAGTATGTGTTCAATGGTAAGAAAAAAATGTTCACAATCACAACCGGTTTAGGAAATAAAATTTTTCTGGCTGTTTTTATAGAACGTAAACTATATCAGATATTACGGCACACTTTTACATACGCGTTAGAATTGTGGTACAATAGTCTAACATTGTGATGGTTGAACACTTCGTCATTCTTTTTAAAATAATAACTTTTCAACTTTTAAATAACAACTTAAATATCAACATTTTTCCGGTGGTGTTATATCGCAGCTATCGTATTTTTTGCATAGCTGCGACAATTTGTAAAATAATTGTGAATAAATAATAGAATCTACAATAAAATTTTTGAAAACAGGGATTTTTTTTATAATTTATGTCCTGGGAACTCATTTCTTTTAAAGGACCTCATCAAGAAGGAATTTATCTGGCAGACATGAACTGCTATTTTACACCTTAAATGCCAATTCGCCATTATATGGAACACCTTGTATAAAATATAAAGATATTATATACATAATCTTACTTATATATCTGTTTTATATCAACTTAATTGAACTGTTAGAAAAAAAAGTGTATTTTTTGTAGGTGTATAAATTTTAAAAAATTCTTTTCCATACCAATTTCCCATGATCTTTAAATCTTAATCATTTCATCAATTCTCAAATTTTTTGTTGGTTTTTTTTTAATTTTTATTTCTGTTTCTTTTTGCTTTGGTGCTTATCGAAAAGGTGATTTGATGATTTAGAATAAATAAAAGGGAATGAGTAAAAGAGACAAACAAAAAATTTTACAGCTTAAAAATCTTGATATTTTTGATGGCATTTTCAGGTGTTTGAAAGTCTATACATTTTAGAGGTTGTGCCCTTTATAGTACCTTAAAAATTGTCTTTCAGAGATTAAAGTTTTAGCTTTCTATTGTAAAGACTGAAGTATTTTTTTAAATAGACACCGAGAATGAAAGGCATACGGACGAAAATAGTAAAATTAATAAGCACTTTCTTTTCAAATTTGTTTGAAAATTCCACAAAAGAATGAAGAACTGAAGAAAAGCCTTTAAACTTCTGCAAAGATATATGAACCACCTTCACGTATATAATACCAAAATAATGCGAACAGCTTATTTTCTGATGCCTCCTTACCCCCTTGCAATATTCTAACTCGGCTTACATAATTGAGGTTTTTCTTAATTTATTTCTTTAAAAATTTACTGCCTAAGATTCTTAATAATCTACAACTTCCTATTTCATTCTCTTTCAGAATATTTCAATGTTTGCCGCAGTAAAATTAAAAGTAAATTGAAAAAAGAAAAATTTTTAAAGAAATTCAAAAGAAAATTCTTAAATACAACACCAATGTGAATCCAATTAAACTTTATTTTAAAAAAAAAAAAAGTTTTTAATAAACTTTTGGTTTAAGAACCAAAATGCAATCACATGTGAAATTTTACGTATAACACATAGTCGCACACACCAAATTAACATAATTTATATACAAGCAATGACATTATGTATGGATGAGTGTACGTACATGTATATGTCACAAACAATATTTTTAAGTATTATACAATTCATTATACCATGAAAACAATTTTTTTTTTATTTAATCAACCACATTGCATTTAATTTAAGTTTTTAATTAAATTTCATTTTTATATTTTTAATTATTTTGAAAAAAAAATTTCTTTTTTTTTTTTACTTTCTACTTTTCAAAAATATTAATTTAATGTTAATGTTTTTTCTCTTTTTCTCTTTATTTACAGAGCTGTATATTTACTATAATAGGTTTAACATATTCACAAATAGCACCTGGTTCTAATACATATTTACCACCAAAGCCAACACCAAGTGGTTATAATTATCCTTCACCTCCTGTAGCATTAGTAAGTATATTTTATAAAAAAAATTATATAGTTATTTAGTATAACACATATACATCTAATATAATACCGTTTAAATTTTTGTATACAAAATTCTATATATTTTGCTAATGTTTGTAATATAAATCAGGAAAAATAGAAAGGATTAAGTTTACGTTTAGATGTTTCAAAAAATACGAGAATAAGTATAGAGTTGGCCGTATCAACTCTGTGATACCGTACAAATGAATGGTTTTAAGTGATGTGTTTTATTTATCACACTGTTCTATACGTGCTCTTGAATTATTATTCGTTTATACAAAATTTCAGTACTATAATTTCAATAGTTTTCATATTATATGCACAACCAAGTAGCTATTGAAATTGTATGATATCTACCACAAGGCGTTAAGAGATCTCAGCGTCAACTCAATATAACAGCCTCAATAGTATTATTTACTTATACCAAATTTTGATATATTATAATTTTTGAAGTTGAAGCTATCCGAACCACTGCCTCAGTTATATTCAATTTAAATAGTCTTCTTGCGTTTATTATTATCATAAATCATTTGTGAAAATTTGATGAGCATAGCTCAATAAATATTTGAGTTCGACTCAGGTTTCAACGTTGATCTGATCAAAAACATACACTATATCTCAGACCATTATTTCTTAGCGTTAAAAACTGTAAAACTGCGATACAAACATTCGTACGGATATAACAAATATTATTTCATAAGATTTGGAAGCAACACACAGTTTTTATTAAAATTTTTTTGAAAAATGCTAGGTCCAATTAGAATTTCACAGTAATTTGGTTAAAATCTATTCCAATTATTTTTTGCCATAATTTCTCATAGAGAATTCATTGCGATTATTTGAGTAAATTTCAACTTTAAATATTCAAAACAAAATACTTATCATACTTGTTCGATTGTGTATGATCATACTATTAAAAGTATCAAACTTTCTCGTTTCTTTTAAATTTTTAACTAATAAATTAGGTATTTCAATTATAATAAATTGAAAATTTATGTAAAATTCAAAAAAATGCATATCAAATTAAAAGCAAAATAAAATCGATTTAAAATAAATGATCAAACCTGGAAAAAAAACAAAAACATTTTCTACAACATTCTTCAATTTAATTCCGACAATATTACTAATCTCAATTCAAAAGTGTATGAGAAATATTTTCTCGCACCTATCGGAAGAAGCCTTTTCTATATCAAAAATTTTTAAAATTTTAACAATGCAATTTGTAAAAATTTAATTTATGCAATTCATTTTTGAAGACGAAGAAGAAGTTTATTGTATGAACTCATTCATATATTTTGTTTTGTGAGATTAACAATGACATTTTTTGTTAAAACAACGCGTTGTTGTATAAAATTTGCAATCACCTCACTTTTAGTTCCCATATATCTACAATAAATTTGTTAAAATTTTGAAAAAAAAAAAATTTATGTATGGTGATTTTAAAATTCAAAAAAAATTTCATAATATTAAGTATTTCTTTAGGTGTGAGTTCTCATCTCATTCGATTTTTTTTTTTGTATTATACAAGTACAAAATAATATTTAACAAGATTTTCATTTTTTGTAGCCATTCATTCTTTTGTTTTGCTTAAGTTTTTTTCTATATATTTTTTTTTCGCGCACAATAAAATATTAATAATTTTTTAGAAATATAAGAAAAAAATATAACAAATTTTTTTTTTCCCAACATCAAACAAAAAAGAATTACTTAACAATAATCAACTTCATTTTAGCATTTTTAATTCATTTTCGGTTCTTTCTTATAATAATTTTATTTTTATATTTAAATATAAAAATTAAATAACAAAACCATAGTACTGTTAGTAATGTAAACCGCCGACATGAATTATTTACAAATGTATAACCATAATAAATCTATGCTCATGGTATTAAAATCAAATATGGAAGAGGGGAAAAAAAAAGTATAATTTTCACCTGTAAAATCCTCAGAAGAAAAAAAAAAACGACACACAAATAAAATAGAATAAAATAAAGAGCAAAAAAATAATAAAAAACATAAAAACAAAACAAATTGCCTCAAGAGATGTTCTATGGTAAATGCACTGCTCCCATTTTATTACATTTTTATACCATCATTATTTTGTATGTGCATATTACACTTTGTTTTTCATCTTCTACAATATTTCCATGCAAAATTTCATAATTTAAAACACTATAAACTATACTTACTTAATAATATGTATATATAGTTCTTATAAAATATTTAAAAGACGAGCAAAAAAAAACAAAACTAATTCAGTAGATTGAGGATATTTATATAGTTAGTCTTGTAAACTATACGATACGTATTTGTAAAATTTGTGGAGCAAAAAATTCTATTAGAAAATATTTATAACAATTACCATAGACTTCTGTAAAGTAAATTTTAACAAAACCAACTATGGTTTGCAACAAAATTTAAATAATAAATAATATTAAATGAAAATTTCATATACATATATGACGTATATATACTTTCTGTTATTATGGTTAAAATACGCTAAAATCCAACATTAGATCCAAAATAGCGGAAAAAGCTGAGGAGGCTAAATTGAAAATTCAGCATTGAAAAAGTTTGAGTGCTCAAACCATTTTCAAATTATAATACTGAAAAATGGCAATTCGGCGGATACAATTTGGCTTCAAAAGTTTCAGTTCCATAAATTTAAAATAAATTACTCATTTTATTGCACCTAAAATAAATTTTTTTCTACAAAAAACAAAATTCTTTTTCAAATTACTTTATAGATTTCTTCAATATTGTAGCAATTATGTACAAGAAAAGTAAAATTTAAATTGAAAATTCAATACGATGTTCCATTAGAATTAATACAGAAGTAGCTCAAAAATAAAATGACAAATTAATCACACCATTTTTAATATAATTTGTATTAAGTGCATACAAACTTACACAACAATAAAACAAGTCCATCATACAATATTTTTTTTTTTGTTATTTAAAGAACACCTTAAAACAATAATAGAAAAATTTTAAATATTTATCTTATAACACTTTCAAATAAAATATTTAAGAATTATGATGGTAGTAATTTTACAGGAGAAGTTTTTATGGTCTTTTTATATTATTATGGGTATTAAAATGAATTACCAAATATGAATAAATAATTTGCAACCAATGGCAAAAGAAATAAAAAAAAAAAATATTCTCAAATAGAATCTTACGTATATAAAATGGAAAAAATAAAATTTTTTTTAATGTTAAATGGATATTTCATTGTTTTTTATTGTATAACAAAGTTCTATTGAAAATTCTACTACATACTTACAAGAAGAATGCACAAAATATTGAATACACGGATTGACGACACCTCAGTTGGACCAATAAAAATAGAATATTTTTCGTAATTTTCTCTAAGATGTTACAAAACAAAATATACAAGAGGGGGGTGTTCAATTATAGAGTAGTAATAGTCTGATTGAAACGAAGTTGTTATATTATTGTTATACACTTAGGTGCAAAGTAACGATATATCCAGTCCATCCGCTATCCAGTTAATACGGTAAAGTGAAGAATCACGGATTAAAGTCCAATTCAGAGATTCTACCTTTTATATTATATTTTGTGACATATTCATTTTGTTGTATAACAAAAATATTTTCTCTTTTTTATTTCAAAGAAAAATTTAATAAATTTTCTAAATTAGTATAGCTGCGGCGTAACTTGTAAATATTTCTACTTACAACACCCTTATATATTTATTTAAATGCCTTTAAGTGCCATTGATTTAATAATAATATCAAATATAGAAAGAATTTCAAAGAGATTTTTTCAATTCAATTCAAAAGAATTTCAATATTTGCTCCTGACGATTAACTAAAATCGGACCATTTTCACTACTGAATTTAAAAAAGTAGTAGGTGATTGATAATTTTTGTTGTGACCTACACACAACCTCAAAATACATGTCTGTGTATTTATGTATGTTGTCTATGTAAACAATTTTATTAACATTTTTATTAATAATTTTTACATATTATGTATGGGCTACCGCTGACATCTTTTTAATAATTTTAATACCACAAAAGATTTACCACGCATTTTTTTCTCTTTTGATTTTACAAATTTTTTGAAAAATTCATGACATTTTAATTATTAAAAAAAATCAATTTTTTTTTCTTTAATACACGTACTAACATTTAAATGACAACTAATAAATACGATTATTGCTTTTGGTTTTGTAAAATCGAAATAATTAATTTATCCTCTCTAATAACATAACATATAACATGACAATACGGTTAACCTATTACACAAAATTTTTCCCATTTCAAACGAATTCTGTCAATCATACATACGAATTGTAAAGGTTTTATTCGCAAAAAAAATTTTAATAGAATTTTGAATTTCTTAGAAATACCAAAATTTTATTTTGTATGTATTCTAAATTTCTCAATTATAACATGTACACTCAATAATAACACTGCAATAATATTTTGCATGTAAGTATTACAACAACGAATTCGAATTCTTATACAGAAGTATTTTCATCAAAAAATATTCACAATAATATTATTATTACAAAGAATTAAATCTATACTCTATTAAATATAATAATCTATTGCTCATTGTGATTTTAGCGATTTAAAGGTATGAAATAAAGTTTATTATAAATTTGACTCTATTTATCAAACCGAGAACTCACATTTCAATTAAGAATATTCCTTCGATCCATTAAATTCCTTCCATTGTATTCCAATTTCTAGTTTTATTATTTTAAACTGTTTACACTTTTTAACATTGAAAGTAATTCAACTAATTCTATTAGATATGGCCGCTTATTTTACATCTAATAACAGCTTTATTAGCTCACAATTATAAGATATAATTATTAGGAAAACTTAAAATATAATACAAGCATTCAAATATAATTTTCTATAAAATTTGTATAAAAATTTTTCTTGGCACTCTTGAAAAACCGAAAAGAAAAAAAATTGCTTTCTTAACACTATTTTTTAAAACAATTTCCCTTTCATTTTATTCCTCGAACTACAAATGAAATTCTAATTTTTTTTTACTTTTTTTTATTATTATTTGCTCCCATTATTATTTTTTAACCATTTTTATTGTTATTTTAGTTTTTATATTTCTTGTATTGTTTTTTGTTTTAAATCTGACATACAAAACAAAAAATTAAGTACTAAAAAATAATGAAAGGAAAAATAAAATCCCTTTAAGGGAATTTAAGCTAACAAACAGAAATACTTAGTTATTCACAACGTGTAACAGGTGTATATATACATTTAAATAAATATCAATAAAATTACAGACATTTAAATTTACTATGTGCAGTACATTATATTCTATAAATATATATGTAAGCACCATGCAATGAGCAAACACAATAATTAGAAGAATACGGTCATATATGTACTATTTTCAGATTATTAGTTAGAGAAACTTTATATTGTATTGTGAATCGACCTATATAATTTTGGTCTAATAAAATTAGTAAAATGATTAAAATTTTTAACCACAATCTTTATTTAATTATGAAGAATAGTTTATTCGACGATAATATTTACAGGTCAAACACTTTATTTACAAATTAATTATTTTGAAGCACCCACATATGTTAATAACACCTAATTTTATAAACCATATTTTTTTTCAAAATTAACATGGAGAACAAAATAATAATAGGAACACTTAATCAATCAATTCTCTTTCTTCTCAAAATGCTAACCAATATCCAGGATTACACGATATTTTATACTGATACTTGAAATTCTTGAATTTTTTTTTCATACACCATTCAATACTATTAAACTTTTCCTCTACTGTTTATTAACTTGTTCTTTAACCTCTTTCGTATTATATAAAAATATTATGATATTTTTATAATTTAGAATGTTTAGTAAAACACAACAAATAACACTTAATAAATAATTAAATTTAAAAATTAAAGCAAGATAAATAAATTACAAGTGACTTTTTCAATTAAACTTTTATAGTAATTTAATAAAACAACACTATTGTGAATTTTCAAAGACATGTACTTATACAAATAAAATATTTTGACGTCTTCAGAGTTAATAAGAGAGTAGAACATTCTGTTTCTTTCTTTATAAAGGTAATTTATTTGAACAGCAGCTAATCAGTTTAGATATTTAGAATTTTGAGAATTTTAGTATATTGAGCTATGGGAATAAACACAAATACAAAAATAAATGCATAAAAATTAATTATTATTAATCCACTGAGTTACAAAATTAAATACAAATAACACAGAATGTCTATACCTTCAAAATAACATTTTTTAAAAGGGCGTTTTTAAGAAACTTTCCACGATTTTAATATTAACATTCTATCTCAATGTACATTTCAAATTTTCTTCATTCAAGAAATTTTGAGAGAAAAGCATAATAGAACTTTTAATATTTTAATAGGAGGAGGAGGCATTTCTTCTATAGTTTCCACATATTTGACGTTATTTTATTTTAAAATTCAGTCATGTATGAATATCATTTCAATTAGTATAATTTTTTCTAGTTTTTAATTAATAAATATGAAAATTCAAAGCGATTTGAACAGTATGAAAATGCTGGACAAATTAATTTGAAAAAAAAAAGGATTTTGACTGAATTTAACGTCAGTTGAATTTTTTTGACATCAAAATATTTGAGTATTTCTTGAATATTTGCCGATTTTCGAGATTCTTAAAATACGAAATGAAATTTAATATATTGTTAACTATCTAAATTCATCCGTGAAAATTAAAATTTCATTTCATTAAAATTTTAATTAGATTTTCAACATATATTCCCAAATTTTTTTATGTTTACATTTTACAACAATAAAGAAAACAAACTATCTTATATTAAAATCTATACATATTATATAAAAACAAAACTCTTAAAACAAAATGTAAATTTTATAATTCCAATATTTTCCCAATTTGACCTAAATTCGTTTATACCCCAGTGTCCATCCCTCCTTCCTCATTGGAAATATTTTAAATTAACTTTTCAAGATAATTTTAATACCAACTGTTTCCTTTTATTCTATTTGTCATAAACACGTTCAATTATACAATATTATTATGAATATTACAAACCAAAAAAAAAATTTGGTTCATTCACAATAGTGTTAAAATTTTAATATATATAATATCTTTTTTATGCAATTTCAAAAGAAAAAATCCAAAAAAAAATTTTATAAAAGATTTCATATTTTTAATATAAAAATCTTGCATAACATAATAAAATGTAATAAACATTATAATAATAATTCTACTATTTTATTATTAACTATTATCATTATTATTACAATAATTTTTAATGTATAATAACTATTGTATACAAAATAATATATAGTTATACGAATATGTATATACAAAATGACATAATTACATACATACGTACATATGTAAATATGCAAAAATTGTATTTATTATATTATTTGGGTGTATGAAAAGAAAATTAAAATGTTAAAATGTTAGAATCACTGTGAAAAATCTCTACAAATAAAAAATTATAATACAAAAAAAAGCAACAAGAACAACGAATTTGTAATAAGATCTTTGCAATATTCTAGTGTCATAAAAATGTATTATAAAATTTTAATTACGTTTATTACCACCACAATGAGAAGATAATGTTTGCTTCTTATTATGCATATAATATATGAAATCTAAATTATTGGAATATATGGATTTATATTCTAAATATCCCAAAGTTATGTAAATTGTCTTATAGGAATTTGAAGAAGCATTTTCTATTTTCTAATTTAAAAGTTTTTGACAGTATAATATTTTTAAAACGTGGGGTTCATGGTGTCATCTTTTGCAAAACAACTGAAACTTCAATAATATGCTCGTTCTATCGACAAACAATAATAGGTTAATTTAAAAAGTGCATACTTCCTAATAAGTATTCTAAAAATCATTTTAAGTAATTTATAAATTTCTAATTACATTTATCTAAATTTAATTTATTATATCGATTTTATTAACTAACACATACATATTTTTAAAATTTCAGTTGCTTTAAAATTATTTTTAGGTATATTTGATTTAATCCGATTCCAAAGAAATTTTTCAGCTTTGAAATTTGTTCTATAAAAAGCTATGTTATAATGTTATATTAATAATAATTCGTTTGAATAATCTCCACACTCCCTTATCATTAAGAGTCATAATAATTTATATTTTATAACTACTAGTTATAGAAAATTTTCTCCTCTTATATTGAAATAAACCTTATAGTTGAAATGATCAAACTTTAATTTTTTTTTTATTTTTTTTATTTTTTCCATTAAAATCTCAATGTGAAAAATGAAATTCTCAAAAAAAAAAAAATTACAAATATTTATTATCACTTTTTAACTTTTATAATACACCAGGTGCTGTTGTTATTATTATTGTTAAACATTTTGTATAACAATAAATACTTTGCTTACTTGCACTATATTACTTGCAATTTTCACATCACAAAATAAAAATCTTTTTAATCTACATTCATGCTACTGTACCTACATACATAATAATATTATTATATTATTGTTTCTATATACAATGTATGTATGTTGACTATTGTAACTTAATCAAATCACAATAAAATATAGAGAATATAAAACATCGGTACGAGTATAACTCAAATATTATGAAAGAGAAGAATGATGAATCAATTTTCTCTCATAAAAACTTATATTGTTTATTATGAGATATTACTTTTATATTAACTGTTATGCATGTATTATTACTCTCTATATTTAATATTATATACGATAATATAAAATAATGGTTGAGAAATATTATGCATAATTTTTCTATCAAGATTTATAATTTATTTAAAATATAATAAAATAAAATTGTTTGAAAAATTGTTCAAATTTAGATTGGAATAAAATTAAATATTAAAATAAACTCATATAATAAATATTAATTTTTAATATTGGAGTATCTTAATTAGATATGAAAAATTTTATTGTTTTAAAACCACGTTATGTTGAGCGAGATTATTAATATTTTGGGTAGAAAATAAATTATTAATAGGTTGATGTTCATTAAATGTAGATAATAGTAAAATATAGTTATTTGAACAGAAAAATCAAACAAATTAAATAAATTGTGTAAAATAAGTAAAAGATTTGAAATAGTTTTAAATATTCTGCTATATAATGAGTTCATTTTAAAAAATGTGGCATTTGCACATGTAAACCGACTGACAGGAAATGAACTGATAGACGAGAGAAATGATCAAAGAAATCGACAAACAGACACGAAACTAATAAGTTCATTTATCCAAAATTTTCGGAAATATGCAAGTATGAATTAGTTAACAATAAAAATTGATATAGTACGAATGATTGTATTAAATAATTAATATGAACATGTATAAAAGATATGAGTGACTTGAGAATAGCTTTTCAACTCTACTTCAAAATATCAGTTTAAAAAATTTCATTTTTAGCTTAAAATTATTTAAATTATTATACAATTTAATTAATTTCAGCCAACACCACGAACACCACTTCGTCCAGCAGGACCAGGACCAAAACCACCAGCAGGACCACCAGCACCACCAAGGAGACCAATAGGAGAACCTGGACCAGTAACTATATTAAAAACTAAAAAATATCTTCATTTTTTCTATCATTACATTAAATGCAAAGTCTTCATTTCACACTATAACCATATACTTAAACTCAATTGATTGCAACAAATAAATTCAATTTTGTTTCTTTTTTTTTCACTTCTATTTTATTTTAAAATATAGGATCATGTTCATATGCCAGGAATGCCATTTGATTTTGAATATGCTGTTAATGATATACCATCATCAAATGATTATTCACATAAAGCAAACAGTGATGGTGATATAACACGTGGTGAATATCGTGTTCAATTACCAGATGGTCGTACACAAGTTGTCCGTTATACAGCTGATTGGAAAACTGGTTATCATGCTGAAGTATCATATGAAGGTGAACCACAATTTCCGACTGGACCAGGATCAAATCGAGGTGGTGGCGGTGGATATAAATATTAAAAATACATAAGATAAAAAAAAAAAAAGAATTTTAAAATTTGAAAAAAAAAAAACTTCGTCATAAAAGAATAAAATTTAATTCTTTATATGTAAATGTATATGTTATTTAATTTATTTTCTTTAAAAAAAAAAAAAAACAAATAAACAAAATCATCAACAACCAACCTCTCGTATGAAAGAATAATAAAAATACAAAAAAAAAAAACTAATTTATCCTTTTTTTTTCGTTTTTTATCCTAAGAGAAAATTTTCTTGCAAGACTTTATTTTTTCCTTTGTTTTTATTTCTCCTAAAGTTATGTAATCCAGTTATTTTTTCTTTGTATTAAAAAAATTTCTCTTTCACTTCCTTGATTAAGAATATTTAACAAGGATCAGAGCCGGAAATTTTACAATTTATTTAAGTTAGTCAGAGTTTTTTTGTATAATTTTAATTTCATTTCAAATTTGAAGAATTTATTTTGAGTTTATACATATATCGTAATAATAAATAAAACATAAATTCAAAGTTTATACATATATCGTAATTTTTTAGTTCATTTTGTTAATTAGACATTATATATATATATAGTTTAATTAATATTTAAATAAGAATATTTAAAACTGTGCACTGACCAACTACACAATTTTTGAATACATTTCTCAAGCCCTCCCAATATACTGAACAAAATGAATTGAATGTAAGTTCTATGATTCCCAACTCCCATTGATCGTATGAAATTTTCTCTACATTCAGTATTACTCGATTTCTTTGAAGGAATTTTACAGTCATTCTGATCAGAGAGTAAATTGAAAATACAATCAAAGCAAATTACTCACAACTAGTTGTATTGGAATTAGAAATGGGAATAATATAGACTGCCAATCTTCCGTCCGACCGCCTATTTTATGTTAGATTGTCAATTTTGTGTATTTCAAAAAAGAAAAATTTGAACACACCATCTTCTTGCCAGTCAAAAAATATCTTCGTCCATCCTCTAGATAGGCGAACAGACAATTTTTTTTTTTATTAATAATTCAACAATAAATTTCTATTTAGTTCTGGTTCGATTCTCCCTACATCTAATATTTTATTCTTAAGATTTATTTTAATACATAAGAAAATTGCAACAAATATTGTTAATAATGTTGATTATAATGATTAATTTCCATAAGAAATGAACTCTTCTTTTTTATCTTGTCTTTTTCCCTACATTATTCGGATTTATAATATGAAAATGACTACAATTTATGTTCTAATGTAATATGATAAAAGCGGTTGGTCTCATATTTTCATTTTCATAATGATGAAGAACATGAAACCAAGCAAAAAAAAAAACAACAAAATATAAAAAATGAAGAAAAAAAAACAAAGCCTTAAAAAATGAATGAACATGAAACCAACATAAGGCAGCCAGTAGCAAAACAACGTATACAACTTTTTTTCGGTCTTTCAACTCTCCAACTTAATTTTTTTATGGTGTTGTTGATGTTTTTCTTATATTTTCACTTTCTTTTATTTGTTGTTCTAATGTATAAATATGTATAACATTATGTAATTTATATTCTAATAGACTATGTACGAATATGATGACAAAAATAAATAAAGAAAAGAAGTACAAGATGGAATGAACATTTGTTTTTAATTTTCCTTATATACCCTTTAAGAAGAACAAGCCGAAAAAAATAATCTTTTTCATTTCATTTTGACCATTTGTTAGACGAAAACAAAGTCTCATATTGAATCTGAATATTTTTTATAGTATCAAATTGTGAGGGTAATATTTTAAAAAACCATGATCAATTTTTCTTTACGTACTACTCCAAAATGAGTGTAACTACATTTTAAACAATATTCACCTAAACTTATGGTGAATATTATCAAACAAAATTTTATAAATGAAAGATAAAGTATTCACAAAATTATAGATTCAAATTGTTAAAAATTTCTACTAAGAAAAACTTGTAGCCTAAAAGTATGCAAAATAATTCACAATTTAATAATTTTCTATTCAAGAAAAATATAATATTGTTTAACGATTTTTTGTGATTTTGTGCTGATAAAATCACTTAATTTCATTAATCACTTTATTATTTCTCTTGTTACCATGTTTCTCCTAAACTAACATTATACTTTCATAGAGATATTTTTGGCAAATTATTTAAAGTCTGTTTTATGCAGTCCATTTTCTTAGAATTATACAGCTATATATAATGTTAGAAAAGATATGATGTTCAGCCATCCTACACATTGCTTCCACTTTTCTTTTTTGCAAAAACTTTTTCCTATTTATTTGTTTCTTAGTTGTAGAATAATTTTTCACAATTTATTTTTCTCTAAATACAAAAATGGTAAAAATATAAATTGATGAAATTTGCATTTTTTATTTTTCATAAAATTAAAATTGATTTAAATTTGAATATATAAAATTAGAGAAACACTGTACAATCAAAATTTAAAATGATCAATTTTGATTAGATTAAAATTAAAATTTTAGTAAATCGATGAAAACTTTTGAATTTGTTAGAAAATCTCATGGTAACGAAAGGTTTTGGATCTTTAATTTAAATAAATTTACGCTGTCCATTGACCATTTTCTATGACACTTAGCTGCCGTACAGAATTGCATATACCCTGATGATTAGGTAAAATTTTGGTACAAGGACAATGTTTACAAGTCAGTAGGTTCCGAGATAATCGGGCTTAAGTTGACTTTAGTTGTTTTTTCTTGCCAGCTGAATGGCAGTATATTTTAGTTATATAACAGTTATAAATTAGCAAATTTTTTTCTATGTTATAAAAATTGAATTATTTTGTAAAAAACAGAAAATTAAAAAATATTTATAATGGAAAAATTTGGATTTGAACTCAGGTCCTCATATTTCATATTATAAGGAAAAAATTTTTGTTAAAATTTTTAAAAATTAAGACCTGAATCCGAACGTAGAGTGTACAAGATACTGACCAAAATACACAGTTTAACTTCTGAAAACATTTTAACTGCTTAACCTTCTTTAAGCCCAACAACTAAACAATTGCCTACTGAAGCCTCCTCCACTGTTAAATTGAAACTACGAAATATTTAATAAAATTTTGAAATTTTATTAAAAAAAATCAGACATATAACAAAAAAATTAAAATCGAAATAGCTAGAAGTAAAAAAATATTTTAATTAAGTCAAAATTATATTTAAAATAATTAACAGAGAAAATCAATAATAAGAAAATTTTGAGGAAATTTTCAATTAATTTGTAAAGAATTAAGGCCAAAAAATTCTTGGACCATAAGAAAAAAAATTTAGAAATTTTGAAGGGAAATCATTGAATTATCCAGGAATGGAGAACAATATGTAGCACAAAAAAGGGACATTTGCTAAGAATTTATTGTATTTATCCAGAAAGACTTTGAATTAAATAACTAATTTGACTAATTCGAATTTCTTGTTGGGAAAATGAATTGAAATGTAGTTTTTAGAAACAAAAATTTTGGAAATCAAACCGAAAATAACCAAATTAAGTCTTTGATTTCGAATTTTTTAAAAAGGAATCAATGAAATTGCATAAATAAATGATATTCATTTCAACTCTGAATCCTTGCTTAACTTAAAACGAAAATGGTTTAAACGAAAATGGAAACGCTTAAATAACATATCGGTACAGTATAAATTTATAATGATTTTCCGAAACATAAATTATTTTTTGAATGTATGCGTTTGCATCACAACCAATGAGCAAACTTGATCGCTTGGCTGTGACCTGAAAGCCGGTCCTAGCATTTTATCATCCTGCAATCCCTGACTCGCACGGATGAGTCAAATCTCAGGACATCCTTGTCTATGGTGGCTATCAGATGCACCACTACCATCTCTGATAGCTTCGCCTTCAACTTACAACTCAGAGCTCCACCTCCAAAAGCGAACCTATCATGGAATTCTCTTAGTTTTAGATCACCGTTTCGACAATTTCGGTATGATTGAACATAAGTTATAAAGCCGAATGGCAGCAACCGGCGACGTTGCTCTCGAGTTCATTGATTTTACTCAGATCCCTCATCACGACAAGGTGGAGTTCCCAAGAGAAAGATAACACTCTTAATTAGAACCACTCGTTCCTCCGGATATCACAGAGTCAATACATTCAACTTTACCTCTTTGAATTTAAATCCAAAAACTACATAAAAAGTATATTGAAAAATAAAAAATATATTGTATTTTACTAAATTTAATTAATAAATTTTTACAAGAAATTGAATTATGGATATTAGATTCTGTAGAACCAAACTTTATGCAGAAAAAAATTCAAAAATTTTTATTCTCATAAATTTTATTATATGTAGACTATAAAAATAAATTGTCTGTGTGAACAGAACATTTTGATGGTTGTATTTTTTATAAGAAATTAAACATTTATTTTAAAAAAGACACCTGAATTCACTATAGTATAAATATGTTTCAAAACATAAAACTCGGATAAAATTTTATCCAATTTTATCACTCAATTTTGCATAACATTATTTCATTAATTTTACATTTAAATCTTACGTCTCCTAAAAGTATGCAATTTTTTTGTTTCTAGTGAATTCCTTAAGAATTTTTAATATTCATGTTTAGATCGCACGTTCTATATTAAATAAATAACTGTGAATCTAATTAAAATTTTAAAATAGAATGAATTTTTATTTAAAAATTTAATTTTAATTTATTAAATTTTATTTCTATTTCAAAAAGAATTTTTTTTTTAATATACAATACACTATAAAAAAAATTTAATAATTTACTGTTCTTTGAGGATTATTATTATTCTAAAGTTTCATATACACTAATCATATATATATATATATATATATATATATATAATTATATATATACATATATACCCAACTCACCACCCATCGTTGTAATGCTATTAACTTTAAGTTTTTTCTCGATTTTTTTGTTTTTACTCTGTTTATTATTATACTTTTTGCGTTCATGTTTTATTTCTGTTTAAGTGAAAAATGTTAAAAGTGTAATCTCTAGAAATTAATTTTAATATCAAATACTAATGGTTTTATATACATACATATTAATATATTAATATATATTTTAATGTCTGACCAGATTTAAATTCGTACTAATATATACACACATCTACACATATCCTTTATTCAGTCTAGTTCAGTGTTTTTTTTTTTTGTTTTGTTTTTAGTTCACAATATTAAAAATGTTCTTTGTCGTTTTACAGTTATTTTATATACAGTCATTATGTGCTTTTTAACCTCATTTACGTTTTACTTTAATCCTTGAACCTTAAAAATTATTTTATATTATAATATAAAAAAAAAAACTTACAGAGTTGGATAAAAATTTTAAAGGGTAATTTTTTTGTTACGTCTGGTAAAAATGTGCATTAATTGCAGTTAATTTCAAGAGTCCATCACCATAAAATATGAAAGAAAGTCCCAATTTTAATTATAGCTAATATAGTCATTAGATTTATGAAAAAAATTTTTGAATAAAATTAAAAATATATTTGACAGTTTTCCATCGTTTCGTCTATCTATTGAAAAGTTATCAAGAGTCTCACATTAAATTATTAGAGCAATTATTTTTATTTTATATTTTTATTAATAATTATAAATTAATTTATATTAATATTTCAATTTTATTGTAATTTCAAATGTGGCATTCATTTAATATGAGAAATTTAAGAAAATAATACAATATTTTCCAAAGAAAAATCGAAAGTGAAATGTTCGTAATTTTATTTTACACCACCAGTTATGCAATTACTATTGTGAATTCTATTGATAAATAAGTTATTGGGAACATCATTTTCAAATTGCTTTCAAATACAACCAAATTTTGGATTTTATATAATTTTTATTTTTTTTTTTGCAAATATCGTCTAATGCATCAAGAATTGCATTATTTGTAATAGTTTCTTAATGTATCCTATAAGAATGTAGTAAACGAATGTATAGTATTGCTTAACTTTCCCCCTAAATACGTACCCGATCTATGAATAAAACAAACTAAAATGATTATACTTTTTGCCTTTGTAATTTAGCTCAAAATCTAGAAGTGTAAAGAAGTACCGAACTCACTTTTCTTATCTTTAACATCATTGAGATGTTTTTATATTTTTCCTTCTTTTTTTTTTGTGTTTTGCACTCTGAAACTGACTTCTGACTTCTTTTATGTTTTGCTTGTTATCTTTGTGCTTGCTTTTTTTTCGCTTTCACTTGTTTTTGTCCACTTCAACCACTTAGCTAACTTAGTTTTTATGTTTTTGTTGTCCTCTAGCACTAAAATATACAATTTTAATTGTATTTGTATATATACATTTACATACATACTTGGAATACATAATTATATTTAACTAATTTCATCTTTATGTTTTAATTTTTCCTTTTTTTTTTCTCTCTCTCTTCTTCATTTTTAAATCTTTACGTATCCTTTTTAAGCTTTCGCAGTTAATTAATTAATTAAAAAAAATGAAAAGATTTCTTAGAGATTCTGTACATTTTTTTTTTGTTTTCTATTTATTTTATTTTTTTTTTGTACCCGTTTTGATTTTCTTTTATCTTCTTACCTTCATGCTGTCCTTTTTTATAATATTGCCTTTTAAAATACATGCATTTTATAAACACAAAATATCTACATACTCGTATATACCGTACAAAACAAAAGTGGAACAAATGTTAATAAGAAAGAATTTGAATATTTTATTCTGTCCGAGTAAAATACTAGTTACTAGTTAAGTTCACAATAGTAAAATATAGAAGAATATGAAAGAGTTTATTTTTCCATTAAGTTCAAAATTGCCTAAAGTTCAAATCAATTTTCAATGAATCAAATCTTTGATTAAATAAATTATTGTTTTCAATATTTAATTTTCAATTTTTAAATTCAATTATTTTTCTAATCCCGCATTATACTGACGGCATTTGTTAAGTATGAAAGAAGAATTTTCCACTTATACTTTCTCTGAAGGCAGTTCGGACTTGAAATGGCAGTTATATATGCTTCTAAATTGCTGCATAATTCAGCAATAACAAATATTAACCTGATTTTTACAGTAACTTTGTAATCAGTTAACAGTCTATTAAAAATTTAAAGATTATCTAATTATCTGAATAAATGCTCGTTTCTTAAAATAACATTGTAACATTCGCCTTTGAACTTTATACATATATATAAAATTAATGTTAACCACTTTAATTATAGACGTCATTATAATAAACAACGATTTCTTAACCTTGTAGACCCTATAGACAAGACCATTTGCGTTGGAATGGACACTTCATAATAAACTTCATTAATTGTAAATTTTATAAAATAAAAGGGTTGGGCTTAAAGTGAAAAAAAAGCCAAAGTTCTATATTTTAAATTGTAATATTATTTAAAAGAGTCGAAAAACAACTTGGAATATAAACTTAAAAATATAACAAAAAATCTGTTTCAAAATTTTTTCTCTTTTACTCCGTGTTTCCTCCTCTTTTTTTCTCTCCCACCATTTCTTCCCTTTTTTTTCTTCGGTTATTTTTCTTTTACGCTTGAATTTACCCCTTTTTTTTGTGTTTAAGTGTGGATACAATATTTGAATTGCCATTTAATAATAAAACCAAAAATATTGAAATTAGACCGAAAAATTGAATAAAAATAAAAAAAAAACAAAACAAAAACAAGGATTCCTTGTCCATATTTCGAAGAATTGGTTTAAAACGATTAAATAAATTTTATTTAATTTTATTTTTTCTTCTTTTGCGTGTTTTCTTTATTGGTTCCCTGAGGTTAATGTTTTAGACAGGGTTAAATGTGAATTTTTTATTTTTGTTTTTTATACTCCGACAAAAAAAAAGAGGAATTTTTTTTTTCATCTTAAAAAAATGTAAATCAATTAAAATGGCTTTTATGTATTGGGTAAAAGCTTTTTGTTTTTCATATTTTTTTTTTTATTTAGTTTTAGAAAATTATTCGCTAACTGCTAGATGAAGAGTATAAATATATATATATATATATAGCAATAAAAGAAGACTACTTGAATTGATAGATTACACGTCTGTTGCCAGAAGATATAGACTGTTAATGATATCTTAAGAAAAAAAAAAAAAACGCAAATATAAAAGTTAATTATAGAAACTAGAAATGATAATTTTAGTAAAATTTTTATTATTGTGTAATATTTTTATTTAAATTTAATTCATTCACAAGAAAACGATTAAATTTATAAAAATTTAAAGTAAATAAATGCGTGGGCAATAAATACCGACAACAAGCATGCAAAAGCGCAATTAAAGTAAGAGGTATAGGGGAGGAGGAAGTTAGCAAAATTTGCATAAATAAAGTTTGGTAGTTCTTATTTTTATACAAATTTTTTATAACTTGCCCAGGTTTAAATTCGGTTGAAAATTCGGTGAGCGTTAGAAAATAAGCTTTAAGTTATAAAATTATTTCGGAATTAGTACGGTTTTCAGAAAATTACTTTGAATGCAATTTTCAAGAGCCTAAATTTTAAACTTAATTCACTTATAATGAACATTTCTTTTTAATTATCTATTTTTGTCCTTGAAACCAAAGGTATTTTCTGTGATTGAATAAATTTTTGTAAATTTAAGAATAAATTTAATCGTTAACAAGTAAAATAGTTTTTTTAAATTAGAATGATTTAAATGAAGTTACAAAATGCATCCAATCTTTTCAAGTTCCTTCAAAATCTTTCCGAATAAGGTGTGAGTAAGCTTTTCACTATAAAATTTTAATATTTCATTAAGTAATTTTTACGTTGCAGACCACACTCTCGCCATGTTTATCTGAAACTTACAAACTTGTGAATACAATTTACTAAAATACGTAATTGAAACATAACTAGAATACTTTATATATACCTATGTATCTTAGTATAACCTAAAAGCAACTATAATTTATTGAACAAGATATTTTAACTACATTTACTTAATATCAGAAACAAAAATGCAATCCAAAATATATTGCTTTAAAATTCTCTTCTTATCGTAAAAATAATTTAATTTTTTTACTATGGTTTATGTATCAGCTAAAATGAAATTACCGTAATAATTGTTAATTTTGCTTACATATATATTGTGAATGAGAAATTATTTTTGTTAAATTCACAATTATTCTTAAAAATATTTTTCAATTTTTAACTTTTATAAACCAATTCAATTTATTATAGTATTTAATTACGTAAATTAAGATAATAAAGAATTAAAAACATCATTATTAACAATTATTCTCAAAACAAGTATTCGATTTAGAAATTTTACTTCAAAAATAATTAAAATTTGAATACGAAATTTTAAATTTCTCATTTTAACCATTAATAAATTTTATTGTGAATGATTTGAGTTCATAATATTATAGAATGTATTGTGACATGTGCTGAAAATTTTCTAAATACAAATCTTTGTTATATTTTTATTTAATCATCTGGACGATTTTTCATATTACTCAAAATCAAAGATGCTGAATAAGCAAACCGCAGTATCTGAAAAATATTACAAAACAAAAGAAAAAGCACGAAAGGATTATTTAAATATTAAAAATAATTTCAATTACTTATTTACCAAAACAAAACTTCTCAAATTTATTGCCATTAATCCAGCCACCATATCAAAACTTATTTGAGAACGTTGCATTAACATTAATAAATCTTTTTTGAACTTTGGACTTTGATCAATCCAATTCATATCATAATAGGCATCTGTAAAACCTTCAGTTTCACTTTTTAATTTCTCACCGTACCAGCATGACAATAATAATTCACTAACTATTGTATTCAGCACATATAAGCCGGCATACATTGTTGCTGCAAAATCATTCGTAAAATAAATTGTCAATACAATTGTCATTGTTAATTGCAATGAAGACAACATAAATTGAGTTGTCATTTGTAATGTGACAATTTTACTATAAATTTGAAAAATCCTGTATTATAAAATTATAAAAGAAAAAAAAATATATTTGAAATTATTAGAAAAAACAAAATATATTATATAGAAATATACCTGTAAAGTATATTAAACATTTTAGCACACTGTATCAACTCTTTATGATTACTTTCTAATGATTTCACTCGATTATAACCAATATTTCTTAATCTATTCTTTAAAATTTGTGTATGTGCAATCATCATACAAAGTGAAATTGGCCCAAATAATTGATTTGCTGCATATCCAATTACTTGTAAGGTAATTGCTATAAATTGATAAGTTATAGTTGCAATATAAACCCATGATTCGGTACGCCAATCGTATGGTACCCAAATAGGAAATAATGGTACACGCTCACCATAAAAACTTCTAATACAGCCTAAAACTTTAGCTAATACCATTAATATTAATATAGAATGAACGACAGTTTCCATTATTCGACATTTTCTAAATGTTTGTTTTAATATTTTTTTATCATTATCATTATTAATTTCATTATCTAATGTTTGTAACATTGGTAATGATTTTAAAACATTATCGCGATAATAAAAGAATATTGAAGCACGTATCATTATGTTTGTTAGAACCATTGATGATGATGTTGCTTCAGTAGCCGTCTCTAATGGAGCAGTAAATACTTCATAATAAAATCCAAAATAAAAAAAAAATGATAAAATCGAATGAATTGGTAAATGAAGAGCATGATAAACGATTTTATCACGACGATTATCTGGTGGGTGAACACCAAAAATTCCATATGACATAAAACTGAATTTAAATATATCACTGGATTTAATATTAATAGCTGATGGCATTTTAAAAAAATTTTGGAAAATTATAGTTTTAATTCTGGATCTTGAAATTTTGAAACAGGTTCTTTTTAAAGAATTTTCAACACTAAAAACGATTTTCTATTAATTACTAGTTGGTACTTTTAAAAAAACACTTTCCAGAAATTTCATTTAAAATCGAAAAGTTTTCCAATTTTATTTAAAAAAAAAATTTCTTAACATACAATTAAAAGTATTAAAAGTAGGTGGATCTAAAATCTAATTATAGGGCTATAAGAATTTTTTACACTATTTAATCATGATGTCCAATGAAAGTGTGAAAGAAAATTTTAAATTAAATGTTTTGTATTAAAAAATTTTTAATAGTGCATTATAAATGAGGAAAAATCATTACGCAACACGACATTTGAAATATAAAGAGCATAATTAGAAAATGGACATCCAGGTTTTCAAAAAATTAGTTTGTATACAAAGCACTGTTCACTTATCTTCAACATTTTTAAAATATTGTAATTGAAGAGCAAAAAACTACAATATTTAAAGAAAAAGTGTAAAGGGTAATATTTTCGTTCAGCTGAAAATTTGCTTAATAAATACGAGTTTCTCATTTCTGTACCACAACGCTAACAAGCAGTAGGGCGACATCCATACTAAATATGCATTCCATTAGTCTTGTATTTTTTTTAATAACTGAATAATCTTTTATATGACGCCTTATCTCCTTCTACAACCAAGAGATCTTGTATTTGATTATAAATCGAAAATTTTTAGCATATTGACAGCGAAAAACCTTTAGCAGAACTATCTAAATTCTTCATCTACATAGTCAACAACTTTTCAAAGTTGAGCATCAAACGTCATAATTAACTACTTTTATATAAGCAATCATATATGAAATCGTTTGTTTGGAACAAAAAAAAGGCTCGATTTCAGAAAAATTAAAATATTGCGAGTACTGTAAAATATTAAGAACTTAATCTTTAAAAATTCATAATTTTTTTTTATTGCTTTTATTTTCAAACTTACAATATTTTAGCAATATTTCATGAAATTATTAAACCTATTTCCCAGATCAAATTATCAATTTAAACTCCCCGATTTTTCATATTTCTTAATATCAAAGATGCTGAATAGGCAAATCTTAATATCTATATATAAGAAAGAGAACCAAATTAATTATAAAATTTTTAATTTTTCCTACTTTTAAAACATTCATAATTCTTACCGATACAAAACTTTTCAAATTTATAGCCATAAATCCTGCCATCATTTCGAAATTCATTTGAGAACGTTGCATTAACATTAATAAATCTTTTTTAAATTTTGGACTCTGATCAATCCAATTCATATCGTAATAAGCATTTGTAAATTCATCTGTTTCACTTTTTAATTGTTCACCGAACCAACATGCAAAAAGTACTTCACTAATAACAATATTTAATACATAAAGTCCTGCATACATGGTAGCTTGAAAACTAGTTGTAAAATAAATAGTCAAAACAATTGTCATCGTTAATTGTAATGATGATAACATAAACTGGGTGGTCATTTGAAATGTAACAATTTTACTATAAATTTTAAAAACTCTATATTTCAAAAATAAAAAATTTTAAGTCATATTTTCTTCATTTCTTAAGTTAAAATCATAATTACCTATATAAAATATTAAACATTTTAGCACACTCTATCAATTCTTTATGATTATCTTCTAATGATTTTTCTCTATTCTGACCAATTGATCGTAATTTATTTTTTAGAATTTGTGTATGTGCAATCATCATACAAAATGTAAGTGGTCCAAATAATTGATTTGCTGCATATCCAATTACTTGAAAAGAAATTGCTATAAATTGATATGTCATTGTTCCAACATAAATCCATGAAATACTACGCCAATCATATGGTAACCAAATTGGAAATAATGGTACACGATCACCATAAAAATTTCGAATAATACCTAAAAGTTTTGCAACAATCATTAAACCCAATATTCCGTGAGTTATAATTTCTAATATTCGACATTTTTTAATTGTTTTCTTTATAATATTTTTGTTCTCTTCATTATTAATAATTGTATCTAAAGTTTTTATCATTTCTAATGATTTTAAAACATCTTTTCGATAATAAAGAAATACACAAGCACGTACACTTATATTTGTTAATGCCAATGATGATGATGTTGCTTCAGTAGCTGTTTCTAAAGTTGCAGTGAATGCATCATGATAAAATCCAATATAAAATATCCATGATAAAAATATATGTGTAGGAAATTGTAGAATATGATACAAAATTCTATATGAAAATCTCTTTGGTGGATTAAAACCAAAAATTCGATATGATATAAAATTATATTTTATAATATCCAATGTATTAGTATTTTCCGATGTCATAATAAGTTTTAATAAAGTTTAAATTCGATTTTTCAATATTTAAATGAAAGAAACGATTGTCTTTTAAGGTAATTTTGAAACTACAGTTATTTATAAGGACTCATTCTAATAAATCTATAGCGAAGGAAGTTGTTCAAATATTAAAAAAAAAATGTTAGACATATAATTAAAAGTTTTCTAGGTGTTTCCATTATGCGTGTACAATTTTTTATTCTATATCAAAACCCTAAAATATAAAAAAATATTATTCTATACTAAAATTCTATATTTAGAGTGTAGTCAAAAGAATAGTTTGAAAAACAGCACAATTTCCTTAAAATTAAATAATTTCCAATGATGTTTACTTGTTTTACCAGTATCAAATATTTTAGACGATGACTTTAACTTGAATAAAGTAAGGAAAAAATTAATTGTTAAATTTTTGCGTTTTCTTAAAACTTTTAAACGGCAGTAAAATGAAATTAACTAACGTATTGTAAAAATAAATTTGAGAATTCAATAATTTACAAATTGATATGCGGCGTAAACTATTTTTTATTTAAGAAAAAAATTCTTTAATGTGCTATAAACGAAAATAGCTAATAATTTATTTTAAATTGAAAATTATTTAAAAAAAAAATTTATAAATATAATAAAAAATAATTTTGGAAATATGATTTTAAAAATATTGTTACTTTTAATTATAAATATTTGCCTCACTTCCAAAATGATTAATTAAATGAACCTAATATTAGTCCAGTTTTAGATCGTCATTCACACAATAGAAAATTTAAAATCAGTCATTAATATTCTCGATCTTAGATTTTCGTACGTAAAATTTACAATATTCAAAATTTTATTAAAAAAGGTAAATTTTTGGTCCCTGCTTTGATTAAACACCCATCTTTTTTAACTTTAGAAAACTTCTTTCTGCAGAGGTTTTCAAGATTTATGCAACAGAAAACGGTATTACTTTGTTAGCCAAATTTTTTGAAAGATTTCTCTTAGAATCTGCGACTTTGAAGAATAGATCTTTAAAAAGGTTGTCAAACAAAAGTAGTACAGACAAAAGTTCTTTGCGTTCTCAAACAAGCTACTCAATAAAAGAAAGGAAATGAACAAAGCTAGATCAACCTAAAATTTTATTCTGAACAAGAATAGATTCATCTATGAGTACTTCGTAAAAGTTTCTTTCTTGTAAACCTAAGACTCAAACCAAGTATTATTATTACATTGTTATCCGAGTGCTGCAGATGCATGTTGCAGATAATTTGAAAACTATGTAATTGTAAGTTTTTGTAATAAAAAGTAACGCAAGCTCATACACTATGTTTTATAAATTCCCATTAAACATAAAATTTACTAGAAAACGAGTGTGTCATAAAACTAATTTTAAACATTATTTTGTTTTTTCACTCTCTTTTAACATTATAATAAAAATATAATATTACAACATTTCAATTACCTACTTATCCTCCCTATTTTTGAAATTTCGCAATATTCAGTTAGTAGTTTACTAATTTAAAAAAGCAAAACAAAAAGTTAACATCAATATAACTTTAACTTTACGCTAAATGTTTATTATGCCATCATTTATGAAAAAAGTCATCTTATCCTGAAAAAAATAAAAATAGTTAAACAATTATTACAATTTAACAAATTATTTTATGTATAAATGCAGCCTTTATTATTATTATTATAGAGGCATCGCATCACCTCATTTTATTCATTAATTTTTTCTTTTTATACTTTTAAAGACTTTTCAACAGCTTTACAATAAGAATAAAAAATCACGGTATTTTACACAATTAACGAAAAACAATGAACACTAAAACACCTACATATATGTACTTAAAAATTTTCAAATAAAAATTAGAAACTAAGAAAAAATTTGATTAAATTATAGAATGAGCTCATCTTTATGTACATATACCCTGACATTATACATCAACAATAAAAATTATACTCACACATTACACTTAATATAAAGAACAAAAAAAAACATATAAACAAAATTTAAAGTTATGCAAATCTGCAAAATAAAATATTACAAATCTTTTACAGAGAGTTTTACAGCAATCAAACTTTTCATTTCATCCTAAACTATATCATGATAAATACAAATATTTACATTCATGGTACATACATATATATTCTAATACATAATATATATAATGCAATAACATATTGACTTAAGATCTTTCACATGATTTGAAGACTTAAACATTGCATATGGTAAAAATATAATTATAAAAAAATACATTTTATTTAAGGTTACCAACTCTATTAATCACAAAAACTTCCAACACTTTATTTTGATAAGAGTTTGTGGCTGAATTTGTCGCGCGTTGCTTCGATCTCAGAAGAAAGGAACTAACATTTTTATACCCAACAGTGAATGGTAAAAAATTGCGTCCGTTCCTTTACTCAAAAATTAAAAGAGCAAACACCGTCAAACATTCAGAAACTGTTTCTTTTCTGGACGGTTAATATTAGAATTTCACCAATTCTAACAATGGAATCGGGTACTCAGTACTGGTAACGACATTTTAACATGTTTTTTAAATTTCTTTTTAATCTGGACCATACTTTGAATGGCATACCTCAATTAAGTTCATAGTCAGTGTTTACATCAAGTTTCATGTCATTTCCTTCTGAGATTTTTTTTAAATTAGTTCTAATGAAAAATAAACTGCTACTTAAAAAATGAGAAAAATTTGACCGGTGCTCTTGTAACTTTCTCTTCATATCTACTTACCATAGAATGATGTAACTTCTACTTTTAGAAAAAAACGCTAAATTTTAATAATTTTTGATAATGAATATTTCCAGATTTTTACGCGTGTGTACACTGCGCTCCTTGCGTATCTAATGGAATCAATTAACTCGGCATACACGTCATGCATGTGCAAATGGTATGAGCAATCGACGTAACTAGCTTGCATTATCGACTTGCACGAGCAATCAGCATTATCAACATATGTATGTAACCATCATGCATGACCAGCATGTATGACCAACATGTATGACCAACATGCATGACAAACATACATGACCAAAATGTATGATCAACATGCATGACCAACATGTATGATCAACATGCATGACAAACATGCTTGACCAACTTGCATGACCAACCTCCATAAACAATTTGTATAACCAACTTGCTTAACCTTTGCATTTGTATAACCAACTTGCTTTCATATAGATACCAACTTACATTCTTGTCGGGGAGTGTGATACCCTAACTGCAGAAAAAACCTTATTCATTCTTTAACAATTCTTTAAAAATTGTAAAATTTTAAATACCTCATTATTTAAAATTAATAATTTTCACTAAGATCTGGGAATCCTCAATTTTTTTTTTACTTCTTGCACAAATTATTTGTTTAAAAAGAAGCTCTTAAATTTATTTATCTTTTTTATCATTTTTGTTTAACTTTTCTTCATAACTTTTCAATAAAATCATACTGATGAACATTACAGATTCCAGATTATTTTATTGTATCCATGTAATAGAATAATGTATTAACTCAAAAAAATCAAATATGAAGTAAACTCAGAAATTTTGTTTATAACAATGCTACAAAGGAATTTTGAACATATAGTTCAATGTTCCCAATTAGATATTTTAAAAATAATTTTAAATATTTCAAATAATTCTTTATCAATCTTGTGGAATCTAGAAATTTTAATTTTTTGAGTTAAAACAATTTGAGTAAAAGAAATATTTTTTTTATTTCTTATAAAAAGAGGAAGAGTCTAAGAAGTACTAAAAAAAACGAAATCAAATCTGTATGGTAGCAGTGACACGAAACTAAAATAAAGAGGAAAAAAAATAAAAAAAAAATTACACGCGCAACACGTTTACTTGTCACACTGTATTTATTATAAATGCAGATCTAATGTGGTAACAACTATAATGTGCAAACATTATAGAAATAAATCAAAAGTGAAATGCTTAAACAAAATTTCTTTAATTTTTCACTTTCAATTATTCCATTTACAGTTTAAAATATTTTAATTTTTTTATATTCTATTTCATTCAATAAATTATAGTTTAACAAATGTCGCACATGTACAAGTGTAGGTGTATAGACTATAGCTTACAAAATCGAGAACAAATTTCATTTTAATGCAGAAATGGAAAAAGCGTATTACATACCTATTATAATCAACTCCAATCAAAAATAAGGTATATATATTTGACGAAATGAAATTTAGGCTAGCCGTACATTCGATAAACACCAATATTAAAGGAGTGAATTTGCAATTAATTTTCTCATTAAAAATCTAAGCTCTTATAGATAAGCGGTACCAAAAATATTTTTCAATTGCAAATTAGTCGAAAATTGTCTCAAAGAACTAATGGGTAGAATTAATATTTGTGTATACAACTACTGAGGCTTATTTAAACTAAAATTAAAATGAGACCTTAAGTGGTTGCAAGTGGTTGCAAGGAACTTTTTAACAAAATGAATTACATCTTTAGTGAACATTATTAGAATTTAAAAAAAAAAATATGGTAAGCATAAGTATAGCTATACATAAAAAGTTACACAACATATGTGATAATCTTCATTAATTTTCAGGTTTTAAATAACACTTAA